TTAGAAAGGGGGTGGTTAGTAGGGCAAGGGAGGTTCTGCTCCCCCTCTGTTCTGCCTCGGTGAGGCCACATCTGGAATGTTGTGCCCAGTTCTGGGCCCCTCAGTTCCAGAAGGACAGGGAACTGCTGGGAAGAGCCCAGGGCAGAGGCACAGAGATGCTGGAGGGAGGGGAACATCTCCCTGCTGAGGAAAGGCTGAGGGAGCTGGGGCTGTTGGGCTTGGAGAAGAGGAGACTGAGGGGCCACCTCATCCATGGGCACAAATCTGTTCAGGGCAGTGTCAGGAGGACAGAGCCAGGCTTTGTGCAGTGATGTCCAGTGACAGGACAAGGGGCAGTAGTGGGTGCAAACTGGAGCCCAGGAGGTTCCCTGTGAATCTCAGGAAGAACTTCTTTGGTGTGAGAGTGCCAGAGCCCTGGGCCAGGCTGCCCAGAGAGGCTGTGGAGTCTCCTTCTCTGGAGACATTCCAACCCCCCTGGCCACGTTCCTGTGTGATGTGCTCTGGGTGCCCCTGCTCTGGCAGGGGGGTTGGGCTGGGGGAGCTTTCCAGGTCTCTTCCAGTGCCTGGGATTCTGTGTGAGATTCTGTGGTCAGCTGGGAGGCCTCTGTACCCTCCTGGCCCTGCCTGGCTCCCAAATGACTGAACCTGTGGGGTAGGTTTGAGGCTGCAGTGTCCTGAGACCCTGGGAGCTTCTATTGTGTGACCAGGCTGAAGCTTCTTGAGGTGTTTTGTCTACTGAGAACTAAGCATTGTTTTACTTCTTCAGGGTAATAAAGGATTGTGTGACCCAAGGAGACTTGTCACTGTATGTGCTTCTATATTCCTTTTGTACTTGTCCTATGGGGTAGAACGGGCAAGTGTTTCCAAGGAACTGACCTGTGGGATCTGTGGGCTGTGTTTTGAGCTCACTGGAGGTTTCCCTGTAGCACCACTGCCCTGTCTATCTGGGCAGACTGGAACAAATCTGGTGTCTTTGGTGAATGTGCCTAATCCTTCCCCAAACACTTCCTCCCTAAAGAAAGCCTGGCTGCACAGGGAGAGGCTTTTCCTACTTGCAAAGGTATTTTTTTACTCTGTTGTCCTTCCCCTTCTCCTGTCCCCCCAGACAAGAAAGTGCAAATTTCTATGAGCTTTGTGCAGAAAGACCTTAGTTACAGGACCAAGTGTCTAGTACAAGAGAGAGTTGTGGGGTGTTTTTGATCAAATTATAGGGGAAATGGTATTGAAAAGACTCTGAAGCTAATGAGGTGCAGAAGCAAACTTTTCAAGCTGTCAGGGGACAGGTGGGGTTCAGGTATCACCTGAGCAGGTTCTGGGGTAGATGAGGGTTGTCAGCTCCGTGGCTGGAGGAGGAGGAATTCCAGAATGTCTTCCAAACCAAACCCTGCAGGGATGCTCTGCTCAGCACCACCCCGGGGCTGGAGAAGAATCCCCAGCAGATCCGGTTTCCAGTTTCTCCAGTCGCGTCCAGAAGAGGGAGCCAAGTGACTTGGATTGGTAAATCTCCCGGAGGACACAAGTCTCAGAGAGAGATGGAGACAGAGAAGTGCCCCGGTCTGTCTCCAGCAGGTGACAAACGGCAGGTTTGAGCTCTGCTGCTCTTGCTGCACCAGCTGCAGAAATATGAAGTGCCCCAGTTGGCAACCTGGAGGATCATCTGGTGCAGAAGAAAGTTGCCCAGGTGAGCAGACCAACAGGTGTGAACACAGCCAAGCCACTTCCCTTCTACACACAAATTTCTTCTGTTTCTTTCAGAACCTCCTAGATGTATTTTTTTTTTCCCCTTGTTAAAATGGGGACGTTTTGGTAATAAATGTCACTTTGTCACTTCCTCCTTTAGTCAACATTTTTAATTTTAAAACAGAATAAAATCACAAGCAACAAAAAGAAAAAAATCCAGGCACAAGGTTTGCCAGGCCAAACCCTGAAGGAAAGGACCTGCTGAGCATCATGTTTGGGTCCTGCTCCCTAGAGAGAAGAGTCCCCAATGGATACAGCTTCCCATTCACCAGTGACTGGAAGAGAAGATGCAAGATCCCCTGTTAGTTCTGCAGCAGAGCTACCTGGGGCAGTCCATGGACAACTATCAGCTGTGAAGGTCTGGAGAGATTTGAGCCCACCAGAGGAAACAAAAGGCTGAAAGGGACACATGGAAAGGAAGAGAAAAAGGTTTTCCATCTTGGACCATCAGTCAGGTCATTTTCTAAAGGCTGTGAAGGCAATTCCAGAGGCTGCCCACAACAAATAAACCCAGGCAAACCCCACAAACAGTATCTGCTGACACTCCAGAAGCCTGAGACCACTTTGCCTTCAAGTGCCCCATTTTCCTGGCAGGTTGAGAAGGGGGGTTCTATGGAGCACAAGGTTTTGCATCAGCTTCTGCATTCCCAGGATCATCTGTCTTTGAATGGGCAATGCTTCTCTAAGGGAGCCAGGCTGGGGAAACCTCCCAGCACAGCACACATCTGTCCTTCCCAGGGGAAGGCAAGTAGAACTTGTGTGGCCAAAACACTTTCTTTCTGCACCCACCATATGCAGGCAAAGCCTCCAAGGCAAAGTGGAGATACTGTCCCTCAAGACTCCAGAGGAACAGTTGTCATGAAATAGGTGCAGTTCTTCTCCAGAGAACTGGCCACATGTCTTGGGTGTCCACCTTAACCAGGACCTCCTTTATGCTGTGCAGGACACACAAGTGGTTTTGTTCTCCTGGTTCCACATGGGCAGGAATTATGTATAATTACTTGAGCTCTTTTGGTATCCCTGGCCAAACCCAACTGGATTCCCTAACCCACCTGACCACTGAAGAATCCTGTCTGGAGCTGCTCACCTGAGTCTGATGGGTTTCTGCTCTGTCCTGTGATCCTGCTCAGACTCTTGCATGTTGGAGTGAAGAGGCTCTGTGTCCACCTCTGAGGGCTCTTGGCACTGGTCTCTGCTGGTATCTCCTCAGTGCTGCAGAAAAGGATGCAAGGATGTTGGTGTCTGTGCACAAAGCAGTTTCCCAGGGGTGAGTGTGACACTGTGAGACTGAAGGAAACAAGACCTGGAGCCACTGTGCTGCTTCTCAGGCTTTCAAGCAATAGGGGTGATCTCTTGGTAGGACCTTTCCTAGAAAGCAGGGAGGACTCAGGGCTCTTTCCCTCCTCCCAGTGTGAACTCCCCCTGAAGATACCCCTGCCACCAGCAGCTGGATGGGTTGGTGTTGCCTCCCAGGCACCTATTGTGCCCCCTGTGCTTGGTCAAGTGGTTTTTTTGGTCTCTGCTGGAGGAGGACAGCAGCGGAAAGGAAGCTCCTGTGTCCCAGCAGACATGCAGGAAGAGGAGCTGGCTGGAGAAGACTGCTAAAGGGAAACAAACTTAACTCATCCTCCAGCCAGGCCTGGTGAGTTTTGATGCTTTGGGGTCAGGAAAGAGAAAGGCAAACCAGCCCATCACGGGAGAGCCCAAGGTGCATTCTGGAGAGCTGTCCTGAACGTGCACCCATCCCTATGGCCAGAGCCAAGACAGGGATGTGGGAAGGAAAAGCCACGATGAAAAGGCTCAGGGTGTGTTAGGTGGGGAAAAGAACACATTTGGACTTACTTGATCATTTCTGCCATCTCCCCCAGCTGGTTCTGTGCTCTCTCCAGCTGCAATTCCAGCTCTCTAATCATCTCTCTTTGGCATGCTGTGATTTCCAGGCCCACCCGGTACTGCTCTTCAAGTACTTTCATCCCTTCCTCTGCCTGTGCCAGTTGCAAGGTGCTCTCCTTGTGCCTGCACCATGCTTTCTCCAGCTGCAATTCCAGCTCTCCAATCACCTTGCTTTGGTGTTGTAAAATTTCCAGGCCCAGGAGATACTGCTTCTCAAACCTTTTCATCCCTTCCTCTGCACGTGCCACTTGCAGTGTGCTCTCCTCCTGCCTGTTCCGTGCCCCCTCCAGCTGCAGTTCCAGACCCCTGACTCTCTGCTCCATCAGTTTTCTCCCAGAGGTGGCAGGGGTGTTGGGCTCCTCTCTTCTGCGTTGAGCAGCTGCCTGTGCCTAAAGCAGGAGAGGAGGAAGAAAAATCAATGCTCACCCTGCTTCAAACCCCTCTTTCTGCCACTTTTCTAGGAAAGCTGGTCTTAAGCAGCCTACAGTGCTGTGGTGGTGGACCCAAGGAGTGGCCAAGTGATGTTGCAGAAGAGCCACCAACCCTCACAGCTCCTGCTTTGTAGCTCTGAGCTCCAGAGATTTTTGGGACTCTGGCTCCATCTGCACAGAGAGTATGTGGGGACAACCTCCTTCCTGAGGCAGGTCCTTCCTTTGTGTCCCCAGATCAGTTCCCTGAGGGCATCTCGTGTACTCGGGTACTGGAAGAAGGTGGCATCTGCACTGCTGCCCATCCCTAGCCATCCTTGGCAAGGGAAACCAGCTAAAGGAATGCCATCTCCAGGAAGATTTCTCT